CCGCGGCTGCACGGGACATCATTACCGGTAGCTGCTGCATTTCTCACCCTAGGCTTATACTCGAGTCAATATTCCAGTTTTTTGTGGTAAAATTAGGTGCCTCGGCTTATATTCGGGTTGGCCTATACTCGAGTATATACGGATAGCTTCTTCTCAGCAGTATACACATGGTTATTAGAACAACTACGGACATGATAGAAGCCTTCCAATATTTGAGGGGCCGTCACAGAGAAGACGGGGTCCACCCATTCTCCAAAGCACCTGAGGGCAGGCTAGGAAGTCATGGATGGAAGCTAATCAGAGAGATCCAAACCAAGAAATTAAGGAGAAATTTGCTGTCGGTGAGAACAATTAATTAGTGGAACAGCTCGCCTTCCGAAGTTGTAGGTGGCTCGACCACTGGAGGTGCTTAACAAGAGATTGGGCAGCCAATTGTCTGGAATGGTCTGGTTTCTCCTGCTTGAGCAGAGAGTTGGACTAGGTGACCTTCAAAGTCCCTTCCGACTCTTATTCTGTAATTCAGCTGTTGGCAAAGTGTCTTGCCAAAAGGATCTCACTCCAGGAAAAGGGGGAGGGGAACAGTTTAATGATTAAATTTTGTGGGAATGTGTGCACTGCATACATACATACACCTGTGTCAAAAAGAGTTTGAGATCAGGTCTCCAAAAATATCAGTTCTATCTAAAGAGCCTAAATTGCCCACTTGTTACTGAGAGTATTAAATATGTAAGAAGTTGCAAATGGTCCAACGCTGGAAGTTTTTAAGAAGAGATGAGAAAACCATTTGTCTGAAGTGGTGTAGGGTTTCCTGCCTAGGCAGGAGGTTGGACTAGAAGACCTCCAAGGTCTCTTCCAACTCTGTTATTCTATTATACATGGAGACAGAACAGGGAGGAGACCGTTGTTTTCCAACTGAAGAAATAGTTAAGACCAATCATATCGCATAACATCTCTACTTTAAATTATTAACCCAATTAGTGCTTTATTCACATTTTAAAAACTTGTACAATTTATTACAAATATAAAACAGTGCAGTTTTCCATACATTATCCCAATTCTGAGACAAACACTTAAAAGACATGGAAAAAGCTTTAATTCTTATAAACATAACATTTTTTATACCATTCACACTCTTTTTATTTTCTTCCTCTACCTTTTGATTCAAAAAGATCAAACTTACAACATACTGTAGGTTTATTTTTATTCAAAAAGTTACTTGTCTCAAGACATAAATACAAATCAGAAAACAGTACAATTAGGACGATAGAATGTGGAGGACAACAGGTTAAGGTAAATATATAAAACATTTTTAGTCTGAAAACATAAAAGCTGTAAGAACTGCTTTCACAAAGAAACACTCCTTCAAGAGTAAGAAAAAAAAATCAACAAAATCATATATATACAGTCCTCTCAGCAGTTCTATTTAAACGCAGTGGTGTAAAGGAGGAGAGAAAAAAAAAAGAAAAAAGAAAAGAAATATAGGCAGTATTTTAGACATGTGAATATTTATGCAAAATGGAGTTATGCGAAACTGGCTCTGAGTATTACATCGTGATTTTCAAAATAATTACGTTATCAGGATCCTTTAGAGAATCTATGGTTTATGGCTACCACAGCCCAAGCTTTGATTAATTTTTTTTTCCTTTTGTCTAAGAGGTTCTTCTATTTGCTTATCTGAGGAAATTATCATATTGCAAGCATATTAAGGCGCATGGAATGATTAGAAATAATATACCTCAAGAACTGAGAGACAACTGACAAAAATATACATTTGTGTTATAAGTTAATATTTCCTTTAAATGTCGTCTAGCTGCCTAAGCATGGCAAAAAAAAAAATGAATTACGTTGAAATGACATAAATCCATGGGTTTTTATTTTTTTTAAATTTAACTGGGGGGTTGGGGGAGAAATGAAATTCACTTAAAGCTTAGCTTTCAAAGAATATGACGGGGGCACTGATGAAGTTCTATCACCCAATTCAATTTACAAACAGAAGAAATGTCCTGTAACCTGTTAGAAGTATCATTAACCTGAAGACTGCTTGCAAAGACAGAGATAGATAAAACAATATAAAATACAAATTTAAAAATCATTTTAAAGCATGAGTTCTCATGCTTAAATCTATTTTTTTAAACATTGTTAAACTTTCAATATATTTCTGAAACCTCATAATTTTTAAGTTGGAATTTAAAAGTAAGAAAAAACTAAAACTGCGCAATTATAAAATCAGCACCAATTTTTATATATATATATATATATTTATACTTTTTTATTTAAAATTTAGACCCCTATTCCCACACTCTAATAAGCTGTA